TACATGGGGTCACTGTGAGTGAACCCACTGGAGGGCACCTAACAACAAGAACATGTGCATCAAAAGACTTAAGTAGAGGAAACATCCATAAGAAGAGGGCAAATAATCTGGTTCAAAAATGGGCCAAGGACATGAGTAGGCACTCGATGAAAGAAGATACACAGACTGTCAGCACACATAAAAAGAAATGCTCAAGAGGATGAGCCATTTGAGTGACACAAATCAAATGAACCATGAAATTATCTCACCCCAAGCTTTAATAGCAACATTCAAAAAAAGTAGAAAGCAGGAAGTGCTGGTGTTGCTATGTGGAGACTTGGGGAGACTTGGAACCCGTATCCCATATCCACTGTGGCTGGGACTATAGAAGTTGTGTACCTACTGTGGGGTGTCCTGGTGTTTCCTCAAAAAGTGGGCATTGCAAATGCCGCTCTACCTAGCCATCCCCTACTTGTTGTAGAACCGGGAGAATTGAGAGTTAGGGCAAGAACAGGCACATGCAACCCATGTTCATTATAGCACTTTTCAAAATGCATAACTGAAAGAAACCATCTACCGTATATACTCGAGTATAAGCTGACCCGGATATCAGCCGAGGCACCTAATTTTACCACAAAAAACTGCATTAAAAATGTGCTGAAAAACACGGCTTATACACGAATATTTATGGTAAGTGCCCAGCAATGAAAACAATGAATAAGTAAACATTGGTACAGACACATAATGGGATACTATGCAACCTTGAAGAATGCCTGCATTTGCAAAAACATCTCAGCTGGATGAACCTGGAGGACATTATGCTGAGGGAGTTTAGTAATTACAAAAGTACAAATCTTGCATGTGGCGATATTACACAAAAATAAAATGTTTTCACCCCCAAAGAAGCACTCTTTGATGATGCTTACCAGGGTTGGGAAGGGGAAGGAGGGAGGGGAAATCACGGGCTTGAGGGTAGGCATGATGTTTGAGAGGCTGGCAAAACTTGATGGAGGTAGGGGAAAGACACTGGCAGGTTTGTAAGAGTTCATGGCCAAAGAGGCATGGGCTGTTCTACACGCAGCCCTACAGCAGTGGTGATCTCCAGGTAGATGCTTAGGCTGGTTGTTCAGGTGTAGGAGGAAGACTGCCACAAAGCTATATGTAGATTTGACAGAAGATATTTGTAAGTGTGTAGATATCTTTGTTGCAAATATATCCACTCTGTGGAAACATTAATGCAGAGAGAAGGCCTCACCAAACATCTTGCTGGAATGAGCTGTTGGGCCAGGGCGATTAGGATTAGAGTGTCAGGGACACCAAGGTCAGTTGAGACAACTTAGTCCACAAAGACAATGTTCTACTGTGGTGAGTAGTGACTGGGGTCTTCAGAGTTCATGAACAGCCTTCGAAGATGCACCTCTTGGGCTTTCTCACCAGCCGAAGGAAAGAAGAGTAATGAAAAGTACTTCATGGACCGCTGGACTGGGCAAACATCGGTCGCCAACATCCTGAGGACAGTGTTGCCTGGCTTCCACTACCAACTGCTCTGGAAAGGATGACACTGGGAGGTCCTGGACAGAGTGGGATAAAAATGTGACACAGAACTCAGAGTCCTAAGGGAGAGGAGGCTGACTGGTCCATCAGAGTCTGTGGGCCCCTCAGGCTGGTCTGGAACTGAACTCACTCCTGTAATGGGATCACCATTCAAGATCAAAGGAGCAGCATTGACCCAAAGTTAAGAATGCTCGGAATGGAAGAGGAAGGGAAGCAGGAAGCAGGCAGGAGGAGGACGGGGAGGAGAAGTGGGGGCTCACTGAGGGGACTGCGATGGATGAGCTAAAATCCACATACCTCGTTGACTGTAAAATCTGCTCATTTGCTCTAAATCATCACCGAATTCACAAAAGTTTTTCTTTCTTTTTTTCAAAGGACAATCAAATGGAAAGGGCTTTGGGATGCAGAGGGCTTAAAGAGGAGCTTGTAGATGGCAGAGACGAGGTGGAAGAAAGCAATAAAGTCAGCAGCTATGCATTTCGTAGAACAGGATGGTGTCTCCAGGGACGGTGGAAGAGTAATGGTTTGGAGGTGGTAGAGGTTATCTAAGAGCACCTTCTGGCCCCTGTGGAGTGATAATTGTCTGTTATCCCTTGAGAGTAGTGCCAGAGAGCGGTATCTTTTGGGTAGATCCAGGTTTGCAGGTAGGACAAAAAGATCGAGGGGGCATTCTCTGAAAAAAGCTGAAGAAATAGGTAAGGTTGTTTATATCGTAATGGCCAGTCCAAAGGACACAGGAGAAAGAGTCAGGAAGAAATGCAAATGAGGAGAGTGAAATCCAGGAAGAGCATCAGAGTTGTGAGGATTGGGATGTGAGTAGCAGAGAGAGACGGGAACAGAGCCACACTCACTGCCATCGGGTCGATTCTGGCACGTCGTAAGCAGACAGGACAGGGAGGGACTGCCCCTGTGGGTTCCAGACTACCGCCTTCTGGCCATCAAAAGCCTCCTCTTTCTCCCGTGGAGCAGCTGGTGGTTGCAAACTGCTGACCCTGCCATTACTAGCCCAATGTGTAACCCACTCCAGCACCAATTTTTGGTAATAGATGTGGTTTGTAGATGGGGTGCTGGTTGGGTATCCTGTAGGACAGTCCTAGATGGGGGTAACCGCCTCAAAATTCCAAGCAAATTCTGATTGTAAAAAAATGGCTCCAATCCCTTTATTGGTTTCAGTGAGCACAGTCTCTCTCATAAGTGAGATTAACAAAGACGAAGAGCTCCCTTTATGGTATTAGTAATGATAGACTGACTGTAATGTCCTCTTTTCTGTCGGTAATGATGACCATACAGTACTGATCGATCCAACTGAGTGTAGTGTCACTTCTGGTCCTCTCTGTTCTCCTTCGGGGATGACACCAGCCACAGTTGCAGTCAGGTGGGACCTCACCTAGTCCTCCAGACCACCAGGCTATAGCCAAGACTGTAGACGCCAGCCGCGGATTGGCATGTCACCACCACACTCCCACTTAACTGATACCATGACTAGCTCGGGAGGCCAGCCCTAAGCGCAGGGCCCCCTCCTCAGGGCACCCCTGTTTCTGGTGAGCTGCTTCCCACTACTTCAGGTTTAGTCATTCTTTAGAACAGCACGAGAACTCCTAAAAATGCGTTATAGTTTTGTTTTAACTGGAATACTACAAATTAATAGGCACACGGGGTGAATTCTGGGAAGGCTCCCAATGTAGAGCCCTCAGGCCCCCAAACGAGATGCACTGCCGTTCTAGGGGCACCCATGTCCTTCCCCCGGCCTCCGCAGGAGCCTGTGGAGCTTTGTAGGCAGGGCTGCCAGAATCAGCCTGCCCTGCCTTCCTGTGTCTCTGAGGTTATGCGGCGACCAGGTGAGCCTTTCTTGCCTCACCTGGTACCTGCGCTCCCAAAGAGGCACTTTATCCGGAGAATACAAGTTCCTAGAGCAACCCATCTCTGGATTGACCTGAATTCGTAGTTAACATTTGGGGAAATGGTTGTTTAATCACCTTGGCTATTCATCATTGTCTTTTTCACATTATCTTGATATGCTAGAACAACGTCTATATTATTGTAAGGAAGTTTGCACTTCTCTCTTCGACCATTCCGAAAATCCTCATAAAGTGAGCTTGGCTCTGTGTAACTTAGTGAACCTCTATAAGTTCCTTGAAATTGTCATTGTCATTAAGATAAATCCTGCTTAGTGTTTTTAAAAATTGGGACATTGGAGATTATTAAGAGTTATTTTTGTGATCACGTGCATAAGGACTTTCAAAGTTATTGAAATGTAAATTTTACAGATAAAAATTCCCTTATTTAAAGGCTAGGTACTTTCTTAATTATTTCAGTTATTTGAAAGTGATAGTGATCTCTGTCATGTGACAGGTGTAGTTCTTTGCTTTCTGTCAAGTGACCATATTGTTTCCTTACTTTGCTCCAATCTCTATTAAAAACCCATTTATGTTTTCTTCAGTAAACTTTTAAAAAAGCCCAAGTCGTAATGTCTATTAATAGTTTTGATTTGTAATTAATATTCTAAGTGGTTTCCCCTTGAGATGAGTTAGCTACCACCTTAGTCTGAGATTATATAGGATTATGGGTAGCAGTCTTTTTTTTTTTTTTTTTTTAACATTTTTTTAGGGGCTCATACAACTGTTATCCCAATCCATACACACATCAATTGTGTAAAGTGCATTTGTACATCGTTTCTCAAAACATTTTCTCTCCATTTAAACCCCCGACATTAGGTCCTCATTTTTCCCCTCCCTCCCCGCTCCCGGGTAGCAGTCTTGTATATCCCACCAGACATCAGTGATTCTCAACGGGGAGTGATTTGCCTCATGGAATGACCTGAACAAAAATCTGGAGTCATTTTTGGTTGTCACCACTGGGGGAAGGCGTGTGCTACAGACTCCTGTTAGACCAGATGTCTGTAATGCACAGGGCAGCACCCATAACAAAGAATTATCTGGTCCATGATGTAAAAGAATGCCGAGGCTGAGAAATCCAGTGCTTAAACACTCGAATGCTTAGGAACTAGGTCAAGCATGTTGGTTTACAAGCTCCCTCAGCCCCTGTGAGGTAAGTGCTACCATCTTGCTCTGAAAGTCCTCAAGGACTCACACAACTGTTCTCGCAATCCATACACACATCAATTGTGTAAGGCGCATTTGTACATCATTCTCAAATTGATGTGTGTATGGATTGCGATAACAGTTGTATGAGCCCCTAATAAAATGTTTTAAAAAAATAAAAATAAAAATGTCTTTAACACAATGAGACGTTTAAAAAAAAAAAAAGTCTTCAAGGGACTGATCATTGGTGACCTTAGGTAGGACCCAAGCCTTGGATTTGTGTCTAGAGGAAAAATTCAAATGCATGTATATTCAAGATACAAACTTTTGCTTTTAGATGTTTTTCCCCTCACCTGTTTTTTGTAAGACCACATTCAGGGACAAATATTTATGGCACTGAAACACAATGTATTTTTAATATTGCAGATCTAGAAATGGCGATTGCCTACTGGAATTTAGTACTTAATGGAAGATTTAAATTCTTAGACTTATGGAATAAATTTTTGTTGGTAAGTTCCTATCTTTTGCAGTATTCTGTATATTTTCTCTTTTGGCTTTGTTTGAAAATAAATGAACGCATTTGGAAGCATTAGTTAAGTTAATTTCACAACACAGAATAAAAAAATGATTGCCAAAATTTGATTATATAAGTTGTTTTGCATTCTTTTCTTTTTAAAAAATAAATCACCTTATTGGGGATTCTTACAGCTCTTATAACACGTAATATGTCAGTTGTATCAAGCACATTTGTACATATGTGCCATCATTATTTCTCAAACATTTTCTTTCCACTTGACCCTTGATTATCAGCTCTTCTTCCCACTCCTTCCCCCGTCCTCATGAACCCTTGATAATTTATAAATTATTTTAATTTCCAGATTGTACACCATCTGGTGTGCGTTCTCTTCTTTAGTATTGTCTAGACCAGGGGTCCTCAAACTACAGCCCGCGGGCCACATGTGGTCCACCGAGGACATTTATCTGGCCCGCCGGGTGTTTTTGCCCTGTTTTTTTTTTTTTTTAACCCTGTTTTGTTTTTTACTTCAAAATAAGATATGCGCGGTGTGCATAGGAATTTTATAGTTTTTTTTAAAACTATAGTCCAGTCCCCCAATGGGTCTGAGGGACAGTGAACTCTGGCCCCCTGTTTAAAAAGTTTGAGAACCCCTGGTCTAGACCAGTGTTTCCCAAAGTGGGTGATACTGCCCACTTGGGGCGGAGGCGGGGGTGGGGGGGACTAGACTTAACCAGGGAGGCTATAAAAGCAGATACCTACCTTTTATCCTGGATTATGGGCTATAGTAGCAACATTTTTAACTCCCAGGTGTGTGTGTTGAGTAGCTTTTTTTCTGAAAAGGAGGCGTTAGGCCAGATAAGTTTGGGAACCTATGATTTAGACTGTGCCCCCCCCCCCAACTGTTTTTAGTGATTTGAATGTGTGTACCTACCTGTTTTCAATAGGAACACCATAAACGATCAATACCGAAAGATACTTGGAATCTCCTCTTAGACTTCAGTACAATGATTGCAGATGACATGTCTAATTATGATGAAGAAGGTAATGAACATTTTTGCCCTCCCACTTTTTCTGTCTTCCTGTCTCTGCTTCGCATGCATCCCTAACTTCCAGTTCACGGCGGCTGCCCTTCCCGGAGGTGGACGTCCTCGCTGTGCTTTCGCTTGTGCTCGGCTGGATTTGGAGTTGCCTTCCATCCTCTGTATCACGCCCCAGAGCCCGTTTCTTTCTTGAGCTTCCAACTCTGTATTCTCATGTCTACCAGAAATGCATACTAATTTCCAGTTATGTTTTAGATGTCCAGGCCCCTTGTCATAACCTCTTTTCTTTGTGCAATTTTGTTCTAGTTTTGTGTTTCCTATTTGTCTTGTCTATCAGTTGGAGCATACCTGCTTGAGTTGAGCGGCCTTGAGTAACGTGGAGTACCCTACAGCTGCCTCGTGTGGTACTGGAAGCACTCCGTAAATACTCACCGGCCGGACCCTTTTCTGCTGCCTCTGCAGATCCTCCTTTGTTTTTCCCAAAGTGACACAGTGCTGTGTTCACATTGTGTCTTTATTCACACTTCCTGCATCCCCCTTGAGTATTATTAGTAGGATGAATTTTTGAGACTGTTGAATAGGCCAGGGTACCCTTGGAAAAATCTCTAGTGCCTTTGACTGCCTAAAAAATAACCCTGGAGCCCTGTAAGTTAACCCGAGATGATGTAGTTCTTTCTCCCTGATGTCATGGTCATTCGTGGTTGTCACTGAATAATTGGAGGAAAATTGGAGATACTATTCTGTCTGTGACTGGCAGTGGTGCCCTCCAGTAGGCTTGTCACAATGCAGTAAAGCTGTCCTGACTGGAATTTGGAATGTTGATGTATAGGGCATGCATACATGTACTTTAAAAATCTTCCTATAACTTATTATGCAATAGGATAGAGTTTGATATTTCCTGTTCATTGTTTTCTCTAAGATTGCCACAAAATGCCTGGACACTTGCTGTTTGCACCAACAACATTGTCCTCATAGCATGGCCATTTCTTAGGATGCAAGGAGCCAAGGGACACTTTTTATGGACTTGAAACTTTAAAAAGCTAGAGGATTTTGGAATGCATATCAGTAGGAATAGATAAGAATGATATGCTGTTAGGGAGAAAATATTTAAAAATAAGGATTCTATTAAAATACTAGCTTTGTTTTTGTCTTTTACATCATCCTGTTATCCCATATATTTTTTATTTTTTTCCAGGAGCCTGGCCTGTTCTTATTGATGACTTTGTGGAATTTGCACGCCCTCAAATTGCTGGGACAAAAAGTACAACAGTGTAGCACTAACGGAACTTTCTAGAATGTACATAGTCTGTACAATAAATACAACGGAAAATTGCACAGTCAATTTCTGCTGGCTGGACTGAACTGAAGATCAATCCTCACAAATGCAGTCTGAGGGTTGAGACAAAACTTTAAGGATATATCTTGGACCATATCGTATTTCATTCTTCTAATGGTGGTTTGGGCTTGTCTTCTAGTCTGGGCCGCTCTGACCATTTATAATCCCAACATTGTGGAGCTCCTCTTCTATCTGTGGACCACCCTAGTTCACTCTCCCGTAAGTCTTAGAAGCCTGATGGTGATGATTTTGAGGTTTCCATTCTCGCATAAAGCACAAAGCTGTCTTCACCAGAAAACAGTTTGGCCTAAGAATTAAACGTGAACATCACAAACAATTTATAAAAACTTCCTTAAATATATGCTTTGGGCTAGTTGCAAAGACTATGCTATTAGCACTTCCAATGAGTGTAAGTGTACCGGATCTGAAATGGTGTTTTGGTTTGGGGGAAACCCCCCCCCCCCCTTCCTCAGATCACATGTATTATTGACGTGAATAGAGTGATGGGAAAAAAATGTCAAAATTACTGACGTGGAAAAAATTTTACTATAACCTGGTGCCTACCTGACAAGTTTATTGTGCTTCAGCCCCTAATTTCCAAAGGTCCCACTGAAGTAGTCTGCGCTTACCCCCCTTCCCCTTGTTTATATTGAGTTGTTTCACAGGGAGCTTTGATTTAGAAAAGGCCCGCATAATGTCAGACTTCACTCCTTTCTACATTATGCATCTACACGATTGGATCTCATGATGATTTTTGAAATGCTTCTATGCCTGTCAAATAAGTTAAAATATTTCATTTGTTTTGAATGTTTTAGTTTGCTACACAATACAATATTCTAAATATAGGCATGAGGCTTATTTTTAACTTTTAATTTTTTGCTTTTTGGTCATCGCACTATAGAACACAAATGAGATTCCCTTAATTTATAAGAAGACAGTAGGAATTAACTTTTGAAAATGGTTGTGATGAGCCATGAAGTTCAATCTTTATAATACAGGTACTGCTCTTTCAGACAAATAGTCCATTTTTTAAAAATAGTCCATTTTTGATGACTTCTTATATTGTTGAAATTGCTTTAACTGCTAATCACTGTGGTTGCCAACTGTGTACTTGAGGAGCAAAAATTTTCAGGCACATGTGTACACTTAATGCAAAGATATCAATCTGGCTTCTGTTTGCGTAAGTTATTTAATCTCTTATAATTGGTTTTGTTTCATTCAAATTAGCACAAGTTTCACATCATAGCGGAATGTTATCTGTTATTTTTTCATGACGAGACCGGGAACTGCGTTTCATGCGGACCGTGCTTGTTTCTCCGTTCACTATCAGAACAGCGAGGAAGGGTTATCGCTGTCTTACAATAAGCATTTCCATAATGCAAGTTAAAAAAGCTAAAATTCAAGTGCTGCACGACTCTGGTCTGTAGTTGGGTTGAATTTTGCGTGGTACATCCACGTACTGCAGAGTCTGGTTTTTAAATTAGCAAAGGAATGTACTCCCGGATCACAGTCATTTTATGCGAATGTGGAAATGATTTTAAGAAACAATGACATACATGATTTACTTACATGATTTTGAAATGGACTAGAACACTTTCCCCTTAGATAGTATATTAATATTTCAATCATATCTTTAATTGAATACAGTTCTACCAAAAGTTTGAAAATGTCTATTCAGGTTACTGGAATTGGTTATTTAAAAAAAAAGGAAGAAAAAAAGGAGGATCCTGCTGCTTTCAGTATTTCCTGAATTCATTTTTGTAAATAAAAAGAGGAACTTCAATTATGAAAACATTTAAAAGGCATATATATATATATATATAAAATGTATGTATGTATGTATGTATGTATGGACTGTTTTGTTTCTTGAAGATTTTGAGTTAATAGTAATTTTTAAAAAATTGATTCAAGTACGCTGTTTTTGAATGACACCCCATTAACTTTTTTCCCTCCCAGTATAAATTGTTTTTGTTTTTTTTTCCCCATAAAAATTTGATATTGATTCGTGGCCCAGTGCCTTGGAGTTTTAAGGATTTTTCCTTTTAAATGCAAGACCTTTTCAACAAAATAGTGTTTGTCATCAGTGTGGTACTAAACATTTATAATTACTGTGTAATTATAAACAAAAATACATAGAGCTTTTGAATATAATTATGTAGCATAAAAGTTCAGGCTGTTCACTCTATGATGGCATCTGAGAATTAAAACTATTACTAGGGCTACAAGAGAAGACTGCTTTAACGTGGTGTGATTACACTGAGGAGAAATGCCTGGTTACAAGGAATATTTTTTACTAAAAAATGCGTACACATGGCCATGTGTGTGAATGTGTCTGTGTATGAGTGTGTGAGTGCGAGTGTGTGTCTGAGTGTGAGAAAGAGACACACACAACTTGAATCGCTTTAATTCATAAGTGCTTCGATCTTCATCCCCCCATTCTGAGTCTTTGTTTTAAACTGAACCGCAGGTACAGTCTCCTTTTTGCCAAATGTCAAAACAGGTACACATTTCAAGATGTAATGCTTTTTAAATAGTAAAATGTATAAAATTAGAAGTACCCACATATAAAAATACTTGAGATCAAGATCATCTTTATTGAATATCATCTGCATTATCTCTGTAAGTTCAATTGTGTTTCTTACAATCCCTGTCATATTACCAACAGAGGCAATAAAAGCTTCCATAAAATTGCCATGACTAAATCTTTTCACATATTATTGCAGTGTATTAATTGTTAAAGTCTAAAATATACCTGAAAACTTTTTCCAGGAAGAAAATATTATTCTTAGAGCATTGCGATGGCAAGTTTTGGGGAGTGAAGACATGCCAAATCTTGTTTACCACATTTAAAATGTTTACAACTTACTGGGCTGCTTTGTTTACTTAACAACACTGTAGTTGTGTAATATGGCATTGTAAGTATGTGTCCTTCATTAGACTTTTAAAAGTTTCAATGAAAGGAAGTAAACTTAATAAAGTAACATGAAAAATCTTTTTAAAAAAAATATATTATCCTTACTGGAGATTTATTATTTTAAAGCAGGGTGTACTAAGTGTATATTTTTTTCCCTCAGAAGGAGTTGATGAATGAAATGTTCATTTGTTTTTTATTTCACTATAATTAAGAAGTTTGGATAATTTAATCACTTTGCTTTGAGTGTTAAACATATTGCTATTATACGCCATATTGTAAAGCTTAATAGCTTTTCCATATGAATAACTGAAGAAAGCTCAATCTCAAGAAAGCCTTTTGGAACTGAAAAAGGGAAGTGCTGGAAACACTTTGTGGACCACCGAGTATGCCTTTCCAAAGACGAGAAGTAATTCACGTTCTCAATAGTTAGTAGTTCTCAATGTTAGATTGTATATATTTAATAGCACAGACTTGACACCTCAGCGGTTTTCTTTAAATGCTATTTTACACGTTTAACAATATGATGTATACTGAATATTTAGATGTTTTGATAAAATTTTATCAAATTTTCTAATGTGATAAATTATTTTTTAAATGTGAACTATTGAATGATTTAATTTATATCAATAACAGGGCATTTATTATAACCTGGATCATGATTTTATACAATGTGCTGAATAGGGCTCAAATTATGGCTCATTGTTGAGTTGATGATAAACTTGAGTCTCTTTCTGAAGTCTTTATTGCCTTTGTTTTTACAGCAATAACTTATTTCATGGGAATGTGATGAATTTATATGCGTTAATGTTGTGGCCTTTCCCTTCGGATGGAAAATAGTTTCTATGTTGTAGTCAAGATGAATTGGGAACTTCTTACGCGGACAGATCGCCTTCCCCAGATTGACCCATCCTATTTTTTGTCACGTTGGCTGACTGCTTGCTTGAGTTGTACCTGCTGCTCGAGGCAGATACGTTTCCTTTAAATTTTAAACTCCTGAAACCCTGGCATACATGGCTGTACCAGGGCTTTCTAGCTATCTTATTGTCCTTACTGCCTGTTGGACAAGTGGTATTTCCTGCTGACCAGCACAGTTACCGTACATACGCTAGTAGAAGCTGAGTTTCTCAGCACATTGTTTATGCAGTTTCTGTGGTGAGATTAGGTGCCTCGGCTGATACTCAGGTCAGCTTATACTCGAGTATAGACGGGGAAAATGGTCCATCCAGTAGGCTCTGTGATTTGTGTCAATGTGGCCTTTGACTTGTCCTTGGTTGATTTACTCCCCCTCCCCCCCCACCGTACAATTTGTCATTATGTCTTAAGTGGAATTATGTAGGAAATTGTTTCATCATTTTTTAAAAAATATGACTTTTACCTAAAATTAAGTATATCCAAACTTCCGCTCTCCTCGGAGTGCTGCTTGATTTGATATTTTCAGTTTATGTTGTGTTACGCAGAACTCCCCGAGCAGCCAAGAGCTCTGGGTTTTAGGCGTCACATGAGGACGGGTCCCAGGTGGCAGGGTGCCTCTTCCTCTGCAGCTTTGCACACTTACCTGTTGTAGGGTATGGGTGTGCTCTATATGATTTGTTGTGGGGGACAATGTTAAAACTGTAAATGGCTGCTTTACCGTGAACATCACCTCTTAGCAAGTCCTTCATGGAATGGAATCTTCAGGATTAAAGCCTGCCTGAGCACTGCTTTGAAAGAAAAACTCATCACATAAGTTCAAAGCAAAGAAGAAATGAACCAAAATAGTGAAAGCAAATTTGAAACAAAAGTTCAGATGCCACGAGGAACATCATGTGAGTGACCAAACAAAAAGAACAAAATATTTTCTACTTGGGATGTATGTATGTCTAAATGCATGTTCAATATAAATATTTAAACTTTTATTTTCACTTATGGACTCTGTAGACAGTGTGGACCGTCGGGACTAACGGGGAGGGAAACAAGGCAGGACAGTGGCGCAGGCCCAGCAGCCGCAGTCAATGCCACTTAGCGCCCGAGGACGTGGTGTGAAGCTAAAAGAGTACGCTGTCTGCAGCGCAGTTTAGAAATGCGTGCTCGGGGAGTCGTTTGAAAGGACCATGTTTTCAAACAAATGCTAATAAATATTTTAAATTCTAAGAGCATAATAGAATTTATTGTATTGAAAATTACATGAAATGGACGGACCGGCAAACCAGAGCTTCAAAATAGTCTTTGTTGTATTACGAGAAAAAGCTAGCTATTGAAGTATAACGTACATATAACTCACCCATTGTAAGCGTAACAAACCAAGGTTTGTAAATTTTTAGGCTGTGAAAGCTTTGTCAGAATTCAGATCTAGAACTTTACCATTGCTTCAGAAAGTTCCCGCGTGCCTGTTTGTGAAGAATTCCTGTTTCTACTCCCAGCCTTAGGCAACCACTGAACTGTTTCCTATCCCTAACCATTTGCCATTTCTAAAAATCTCACATAAATTGATGTTTAAATTTTTCATTTGCTTTTATGAACATAGTTCATCTATGTTGTAGCATCTACCTGTAGTAAACTCCTTTGGTTATTGAATATTATTCCATTCTATGGATGTAATGTTAATTCATTCACTAGGTTATGGACATTAGGTTGTCTATGTTGTTTTTAGATGCCTGGTAGTAGAATTGTTGGGTTGTAGTCCCATTTTAGCATCTCTGAGAGTCATATTGATTCGAGGGCAGTGAGTTTGGTTTGGTTTGGTCTTGGATGCTAAATTTATGTTTAACTTCTTAAGAAACTGCAACTTGACCCAAGCGGCTGTACCATATAGAACTATATGCCACCACAATGTACATTTTCCTCACATCCTTGCCACTATTTGTTTGCTAATGTGATCATAGCCATTCCAGTGGGTATGTATTTTCCATATCTAGGCATACCTGGCTATCCTAAATACTTGTGTGTGAGGCTATTGGGTCTGAAACTGGGTGAGCCTAGGGTGGCTTAAGAGAGTGCTGCATACCTTGTTCCATGTAGGTGTTTTCGGTAGCCAGTGAAGGGTAGCCTACCTTTCCAATGACAATTATATTCCCTGTGTAATCTCATGTGAGGAGATGACGTCTGGAGTTTTGACCCCACTTTTGTGTGAACCACAGTTGATAATAGCTATCCAAGTAACCTAGGCATACGTACGTCACGGTTAGTAAATGCTTTTCTTATGAGATAGTGGGTTAATGAGTCCTTTATTTTTAAAAAAGTATCATTTAGTTCTGCTAGCTACCTGTATTCTTAACACATAAAGTACATTAAAGTGCTTTATTTTCAATAGACAGTTCATACATGTACAAAAGTAGAATAGACATAAGCCCACTTTAATAATGATTTATTTATGCTCTTGATTATCTATATACTTCCCATTCTTCCCACCTTTGTTTATTTTGAAACAAGATCCAGATAGCAATAACAACATCTAATTTCAGAATGTATGTGTAAAAGATAAGACTCATAAGCCTTACTTCAGCCATGTTATTACACTTAAAAAGGTTAACACTTCATGTCAGTAACTGTTGAGTTCTTCAGAATTGTCTCTTTTTCCTTTTGTTTTAAAGCCAGTTTGATCAACTCAGGATTCAGGGCCACACAGTGGTGCACACATCTCCTCAAGTCTTTCTTAGTTTACGCATGCCCCTTCACCTCATTCCAGCTTGGAAAATGGTATGAAAAAGTAGTGATCCTTTAAAAATGTTTAACTTCAATGTAATTTTTAATTTAAAGTGAAGCTCTGATGTACTTAGTAAAAATGTACATTCTAACTTGCAAATACTTTAGAAGTGCTTGAAGTGAGGTAGTAATAAGCTGTATGCTATTCAGCTGACTTACAAGTTTTGAATAGACATTTTCCCAAGGAA